ATACTACCAGCTCCTTGTTGAGAAAGATAATGTAGCTCTTGAGCGATTAAGCTATTTAGTTGATAAAACTGCGGGGCAGCGCTAAAAAGTTTGTGGGGGTTTGTCCTGGTATAATTCACATTCCAGGGCCTAAATATCACGTTATTGGGGTCGCTTCAACCTGCTGACATAAAAAACAACCGGCGGCAATAGTGGATTTGGCAACACTGGTCCGCAAACTACGTTTCATATAACTCCTCCCCGAACTTCCCGCTGCCCTGTATCTTGGTCTCTCATTAGCTGTAGGTCATCTGTGATGTGTTTTTCAGTCAGAAATCATTGCACACAGCTTGATTGTGAATCGCCGACAGCTCCAGATATTTAGCATGCCAAATATTTCACGGGCGTCGGCGATTCCCTCAGATCGCGTCTTTGATAATTCACACTGCGTGATTGTCACTCGCGTGAACGAGCACCGATTTGCCTCCGATTTCGGGCATTTGTCTGCGATTTCGCAAAACCTGTCGGCGAGTGAAAAATCGTGCTAAAATCGTGCAGTGTGAACTCGGCATTACTGTCATCACTGACATTTGCATCGTTGAGGGTTTTATTTTTTTATTTTTTTATTGTTTCCTAATTGTTGTCCCTTCACTAGATGAGGGTCCAGAACTACCCACAAAACAGAATGAAGAGTTCCGGCCGTTCATCAGGAGGTTGCCAGAATTCAAATTCTGGTGAGTTGGCACATTGTGGATTGTAAAGGTATCATTCTCCCAGAAATGAAAATTCTGCCATCATTTACTCACTTTCGAGTTGTTCCAAACCTGTATGAGTTTCTTTCTTCTGCTGAACACAAGAGGAATGTGAGTAGCCGAACAATTGCTAGTAGCCATTGGAAAAAAAAATACTATGGAAGTCAATGGCTACCAGCAACAGTTTGGTTGCCAACATTCTTAAAATATCTTTGTGTTTGTAAGAAGAAAGGGTTACGCTTTATTTTAAGGTGTCCTTGTTACAGTGTAATTATACATTTAAGTACTGAGTAATATTAATTAACTACATGTACTTACTATATGGTTAGGGTTAGGATTAGGGTTTGAGTTACTTGCATGTAATTATGCATAATTAATTGTTATTATAATAGTAAGTACATGTAACGTGTAACAAGGAAACTTAAAATAAAGAAATTCATACAGGTGGGGAAGAACATGAGGGTAAGTAAACAATGACAAAATTAAATTTTTGCGTAAACTGTCCCTTTAAGATCTCATGAAATAGCTTGATGAGTTCAGTTTTCTTTAGGGCCTGTTTACACCTGGTCACTTTATGCGTATTTCTCTGATAGCTATCTGATTTGTTAAAACGGTTTTATTTACACTTGGCCACATAAATGTGTCTCCACAAAATGGATATAAATCCGATATCCGATTCCCGCGCTTTATGCAATTAAAAATGGGTTAGTTCACCCAAAAATGAAATTTCTGTCATTAATTACTCACCCTCATGTCGTTCTAAACCCGTAAGACGCTAAACTCACAGCACATTCAATAACGGAGTTCACTGCATTCACTGTGAACGGAGCCGCTCGGAGACGCGGAAAACACCGGATCACGAGCCGATCGCGTACGCTGCGCAATACGCGCGCTTCACTTTGAAACAAGCAGCGTGGGCCGCCACAGTCTAGTTAATGAATGGGAAACACTGCGCGTGGCACAGCTGACACAGAATAGCATATGCTGTTTACATCCAGCTGATATTCTCCAAAATGGCACTACGGTGACGCGGAGGAGACGAATTGTTGAATAAAGTCGTTATTTTTGTTTTCTTTGCATACAAAAAGTATTCTCGTAGCAGTTTGTGCTGGGATTCTTAGTTCAGGCAAAATAAAAGTCCCACACTAATCAGCCAAACAGAGGAACTTATCAGCAAATCCAATAATAAATCATCCATTGTAGCTATCATTACTTTTTTTGATGTTCACATTACATGTATGCAGAGGCGGACCGTAACTAAGTACATTTACTTGAGTATTGTACTTAAGTACACTTTTTGAGTATCGGTACTTTACTTGAGTATTATTTTTTCTGGGAACTTATTACTTTAACTTCACTACATTTGAAATACAAATATTGTACTTTTCACTCCACTACATTTCTAT